GAATTACCAGGACATAATCCATGGATTATGTCCTGGTAATTCCTTGTCTCCACTGGAGTCAGATCGCAGGCATTGGTGCCCCAGACAATTCTAGCGGAGAGTGAGGGCTGCAAACCATGGTTTTAGCTCAGACCCACCACCAATTTCCAGCTTGGGGTTCTGGGCCCCACCAAGAGAGCTCAATGCAGATCATTCTGGTCTCTATTATGGAGGACGGTGACCTGGTGTAGGCAGGGGGTAGTGGGAAGTCTGGCCTGTTGACAGAGATAAACAGAAACTGTGGTCATGCCTCCACTTGGATGACTAATGTTTCCAAATGATTGCCTCGGAGCACTTGCTGCCTGGGAGCTGGGAGCTGCTTGGAGTTTTCTTTACAAAGGGAAATGCATGAACCCTCACCTACCCCCTTCTCTTGACAAATATTTGGCCAACTGGGTCCTGAGGTCAGGATGGGGTGGACTGCTCCCTGCCCAGGATGCCGTATCTCCCCGGGTACGGATGCTATGCTTGTTCTGTTTGCTCTCTGCGCGTTTAGTAGGTAGGGTGGGGCAGGCACTGGCTTTGTCCCATGATTCACACTGAACCCCAGCTTTCCATGGAGCGGGGCCTTAAAGTCCTTCACGCCGGCCCAGAGATCAGTTCTGTCTCGAGTGTCGTCCCCGTTGAGCCCCATCTTCAGCCACCCCTCCCCCTCACTGCCTACTTTATGCCCAGCTCCCTGGCCTTCTGAAGCCCTCACTGCTGCTTCCACAGCCTCTGGACTTGGCCTATTATATATTAATTATATTATATTATATTATATTTATTATATTTATTATATTATATTAATTATTATTATTATATACTCCTTCCTCGCCCTGGAAAGCCACTCCTTGACCTTTCGGCCCGGTAAACCAGTTAGCCCAACCGTGCCTTCGCGACTCGATCGGGGCCCTGCACCGTCCGGGCTGCGGCGCCCCCTCAGCGCCGGTTCCCGTCCTGCCTTGTAGACGGGCTGCCTCCGCACGTGTCTGAGGGCTGCCGGCCTCGCGCGAGAACAGCGTCTCACCCCAGGGGTGGGCTGCTGCCGGGCCCCGCGCCAGGAGCTCCGCACTCACATCCCTCGCGTCAACCAGTGTGTGCGCCAGCCTGCCGCGCCGAGACGCCGCTGCAAACTGCCGTTTGTGGACGACGAGGCCTGCGCCCAAGGGCCTGCCTCACGCCGCAGCCTCGTGCAGAGGGGGTGGGTGGAGCGAGGCCCTCGCCGGGCTCGGGAGCCGCGGCGGCGGCGGCGGCGCCGCAGACGCTGCGGGGTGCGCGGGAGGCGCGGCGCCTTCACACATGCGCAGCTGGGACAGCTGTGGCCGCTTCCCGCCGGCGCCCGCGCCCGGCTTCTCACAGCCGCGGTGCCTGCGTCCAGGGCGCTGCTGCCAGACATGTAGCTGGGAATCGACTGCTCGGCACAGGCCCGTCTTTTTTCACTCGCCCCTCCCGTCCTCAGGGCTGTTCGGCCCCTATCTCAAACCCCCCTGCCCCGCGGTCCTCGCCTGGGGAACCCTTTGGGCAGGGCTGTGAGGGGTAGAGGGCGGGCCCCTGCCAGTCTTCTGGAAGCAAACCCCCCGGGTTTTAATCATTTCACCTGTGCTGAGGACGTGACGTTCACATGATGTGTAGCTTAAAATACATTCCAGGGACGGTCTGGGCTGGTGGCGTGCTTCCTTCGGGAACGTCCCTGGGAACCCGTGGCTCCTCAGCTGTTTGCGGCTTGGACGCTCCAGAGAAATGAGACACGATCACTCAGTGTCCCCCCAAATGGTGGGGGCTGGAGTGGGCCAGCGGGGTGCGCTATGATGGTAGCTATTTTGTAAAAGTTCCCTTGAGAGGGAATTTCTCACCTTGAAAGACAGGATGCTAAAGGAAAGAAGCCAGTCATAAAAGCCCATCTTTTATTATATGATTCAACTCATGTGAAAATTCGGAATAGTATAATCTAGAGACAGGAAGTAGGTTAGTGGTCACTTAGGGATGGGAGGGAGGGAAGCGAGCGATAGCTAAAGGGTACGGGGTTTCTTTTGAGGTGATGAAAAGGTCCTAAAGCTGGTCTGGAGATGATGATGGCACATACCTGTAAATATCCTCAAACCATTGAATTTTACAGTTTAAATAGGCAAGTTGTCTAGTACATGAATTATATTCCATTAAAGCTGTGAGAGAGAGAGAGAGAATTGCTTCCCACCATCTTACTATGAAACTTGCTGCTATAGACAGATGGTGCAAATAATTGTTAAAAGGACCTTGGCAAGGTTGTAGACCCAAAGGCAGGATAGGGTCCTGAGGTCTGCCAGAGGGCAGGGGCTGGGATTGAGTTCAGGGTGGGCTTTGCTCCTATGGACAGGTATTCTTACTACAGACTCCAGGAGTCTGAGAGAGAGAGAGAGAGAATGCATTTTCCAGGGAGCTGGAACACAGCTGCATCAGACTGGTAAAAGCACACACCTGAAGCAGGTCAAGTGTCCGGATGAACCCTGAAGCTTCCCTCTGTACTGGGTACCAGAAGCTCAGCATCAAAACTGGGGCCACTTCTAGCTAGTGCATGCTCCGGACTCTATGGCAGGCGCTCCGGGCCGTGGCTTCACTCTGACTTCACCTTCTTTCTCCTGCCTGTGATTCCCGACCAAGCCCCACAGGGAGAAACTTAGCTGACAGAGGTAAAGTTAGAGAAGTCTGTAGAGCAGCCTGAGAGCCATATTCTCAGATTTTGCCATTTCCTGGTACCATCTGTGCACTAACTTACCCCATACGGTTTTTAGTTAATTTTGTCCAAAATAACTGTATCACTATCTTAAAAATAAAAACAGTGTCATTGCCCAGTTCACCTTTGCCAGCCCATTCTGGGAGCCCATGCTCTAAGAGAGCTCCAGACCCCTGGCTCAACCCTGAGCCCTTCTTGCCTTAGAAAAACCAAAGAGTGAAAAAGAGAATCGTTTTTCCTGGTGTGGTATTCGGTGTTCATCAATACCATGTCCATTGGCTGCCCACGAGCACCTCCGGCCCACTGGGTCCCCGCAGGATTCCCTAGCACAGGGCTCTGCCCTCCACACACAACGCATAAATCATTCCAGTTTACCCATACCCCCCTGACGGGAGCCCCTGAAGGCCGGTTAATAACTCAGACACTGACGCACAGCTGGACAGGTGTCCCACAGCCAGGAGTTAGCTGTGAGCAAGGGGAACCTCGCCCCCTCCATCACCTGGTCAGGGATAGTGCCGTTTTGTAACTAACCAAGTACACCTGGGTGCTCTAGGGAGAAGGAAGGGCAGGGCTCCCTGAGAGCATATGAGGGAACCTAACTGAGATGGGTCCTCCTTGGATGGTCACCTGGCGCCCAGGTAAAGGACGCTCCAGAGAGGAGCATCCCAGGCCCTTGCCTCTGCCCTCCAGACAGGCATTGTCCCCTTCTCCTGCTTCTCCAGGCCACGCTCAGCCAAGTTCTCAGCTGCCAGCACGTTCATGTCCCTTTGCCAGGGCCCGTGATGGAGAAGGCCAAGTCATCTGTGTGATCTTAGAGGCAGCTATGGATGAAATGCACACACACTCAGATCGGATGCTACGGTGGTATAAGGATTTTTGTTTAAACTGTTTTATTTAACTGTTTGTGCATTTAACTGCAAGTTGTCGAATGTGTCCCACCGCCTCTGCCAGTGCCTTCACGGACCCTCAGATTCAACAGTAGAGGAAGTGCTCTAGTCAGAGATGCCCAGATCTGAGTCAGTAGGCCCAGCTTTGTTTTGATAACCCCAGTTTCTTCATTGCTCTGATTTTTCTACTCAGATGTGTGTGATTCCATCCTGAAGCTTCTCAGCTGAGAGGCTCAGAGAGCACCTGTGAGGATGGTGGTCTCTTGCCCAGCAGGTGGGCAGCAGGTGCAGGAGAGGGAGCCCAGGCACCACTTGAGTTCACACCATAGGGGACGTACGGTTGGGAGGGCAGCCTGACCTCAGCCCCTAGATGCTCCGAAGGACCTGGGAGACCTTTGGCCACAGAGCCCTCTCCACCTGTGTCCCAGCCTTTCCAAGCACAGTCCTTACCTAGGTGGGGGATGGTGGAGGAGACTGAGCTGCCTTCCCGGGGATGAGGAGGGAGAGGGAAGAGAAGACAATCCCAGCTTCAGTATGTGCGCCTTTGTCCTCGGGGAGCCAGGACTGTGGCCTCAGGGTGGTGTTATGATTCCTACCTTGTCCTGCGCTCCTCTTTGAAAACATGGGGCTCCCTGAGCCTTCAGACACCAACAGGGGCTTCTTCCGGATAACAACAGGGAAATGCTTCTCTCACACCACTCCTAGGCCATCCGAGGAGGTAAGGAGGCGGCCTGACCTCTCCATCCCAGCCCGGACCCCAGTAGTCAGAGCACTTCCTGGACTTGGGGCTTAAGGGGTCAAATAAAAAAAAATTATGCTTATGACATAGTGTGGTCGATTATTTTGCCAAGTAAAGACCAAAAGAGTCTGCTAGTCACTAACCTTTCGTAAAAGGAAAGATATTTTAATGTCAAAATATTAGTGATTTAATCTAGGATAAAACCTCAGAATAATGATAATACTGGAGGAGATAAGTCCTTTCTTGGGATGACAAGTTACTTAGTGCCCATGTGCCTCAGTTTCCCCATCTGACAAACAGGTCAGTACCTCGTCCGTAGGGTTGTTATGAGAATTAACTGAGTTAATATTTGCAAAGCGCTTAGGACGGTGCCTGGCATATAAGCGTGTGATATACGTTTTTGTTAAATACAAAATTAAAATTGCATTTAAAATGTGAATAAAGGCAAGCAAGCAGGGGATTGGACTGAGACTGGCAATGCGTGCAGAAAGAGTGGTTTTTGGTGAGGAAAATGCCCACTGCCATTCTCTGGCTCCTTCCTGTTTTTCTGCCCCTAATGCCCCAGCATGACTCTAGGTCTGGCCCTTCCCGGGTGCGGGCTCTCCTGCTCTGATGCTCACTCCTGCCCTCCCTCCCTCTGTAGGTCTTCGGGGGCCTGGTGTGGATCCTGGTCGCCTCGTCCCTGGTGCCCATCCCCCTGATCCAGGGCTGGGTGATGTTTGTGTCCGTGTTCTGCTTCCTGGCCACCACAACCTTGCTTGTCCTGTACATAATTGGTGCCCACGGCGGGGAGACTTCCTGGGTCACCCTGGTGAGTCACAGCCCGGAATGTTTGAGGTGGGCGGGTGGGTATTGGACCCTCTCCCCTGGCAGGCTGGTCTTTCCAGTGCTGGGTGAGGCTGTCCCATCGATGCGTCCTAGCCCCGTTCCCAGGCTAAGCTGGCCAGGCCTTTGGCTCTGAGCTCTCCCCAGCAGCCCAGGGCTCCCCACAGCAGGGAGGTCAGGAGAAGGTGAAAGCAGAGGTTGATTGTCGCTGCCTGACTCCCATTGGGCCTGCTCTGCTTTCTCCTGCATGACTGCCTTTTTCATGGATAACCAGCAGCCCAACCCCCCCTCCCCCACCACCTGCACCAGCCAGGTGCCTGCTGGCGTCTCCCAACATCCAGGAGAGCTGGTTTCCATCTTAGGAGGGGGCAGGGACCTGGGGGCTGGCCTCGGCTGCCCAGTGAGGCTAGGCTTCCTCCCAGTGATGGCCTTCTAGGTAGGGTCCCCAGAGAAGAACTTGTAGGCAGCAGAGGGATGGCCTGTGGTCCTAATTCTGCATAAGTTCTGCCTTGAGGTCCTCGAAGGGAGTAAAACTTACACGTGGGACACCTGCCTTTTACCTATGGCAGAAGGGGGCAGGGCCATTTGGTGAGGCCTCTACTCTCAAAAGGCCTCCTACTTAGACTTTTTTTTTTTTAAGTTTTTGTCTTTTTTTTAAGACTTTTTTTGAGAGAGAGTATGAGAGCACAAGCAGGGGGAGTGGCAGAGGGAGAGGGAGAAGCAGACTCCCCACTGAGCAGGGAGCCCAACTCGGCGCTCGATCCCGGGATCCCGGGACCCCGGGATCATGACCTGAGTCGGAGGCAGACACTTAACCTACTGAGCCACCTAGGCGCCCCCTACTTAGACTTTCGAAATCACCTCCAAATTACAGCTACTCAAAAGCCCATTCTAGTACTTTTTTGCCTTTAAACATACCTGGAGCTCCCCCACCCAAGAAAAACCAAAGACTAACAAGACAAAAACACAGTGGGAATGGCCTGGGCCTCTGTCACCCTGCCCTGGCCACTGAGGCCACATCTGAACTGGGACGGTGACCACCTAAGGGATGCTTCTCAGGGCCAGAGCCCATCTCTACCTGTTAGATCCCAGGCTGCCCCTCCTGACCCCCATCTCTTCCTTGATCCCACCTCAAAGGAAAGCAGAGTGCCTTCTCTCCTGAAGTCCTGACTCTGGTCCCCACACCAGTGAGATAGAAGCATCTGGGAAGTGCTGGTTACACATGCTCTGTGAAGAGGGGGCCTGGGTGTGGTGTTGGGTGGACAGGGCAAGGGTCGGGGCGGGAAGGCCCTTCTTTCCCAAAGGAAGGGGCAGAAGATGAGGGCAGGAGCTGAGCCATGCCAGGAGGGGACGGGGGCAGGGCGGGAGACAGGCCTTGCTAAGACCACAGCTGTCTCCCTCTCTGACGGCCCCTTTTGACCCTACAGGATGCAGCCTACCACTGTGTCGCTGCCCTGTTTTACCTCAGTGCCTCTGTCCTGGAAGCTCTGGCCACCATCGGGATGCAGGAGGGCTACACCTATAAACAGTACCACGAGAACATCTCTGCCGTGGTGAGTCTCCCAGGCCCCTTGCCCCTGGGCCCAGCCCCCCGCCCCCCCTACCCACTGATAGAGGGTCAGCAGAAGGGCCCTCCCCTCTCTTTTTACTTCACTGACTTCTACAGAAATAAAGCCCTGGAGAAGGGAGCTAACGTGCCCCAGCCTCCCTGAGCCCTCCGGTCTGTGCCATGCTGCACAAGCCTGGACTACCCTGGGGGTCTGCACCTGGGTGGGCTTTGCAAAAGGGAAATGGCCGCGAGTGTCAGGCACTGTCTGAGCTCTCCATGAAGGATCTAACTCTCCCAATAGCACTAAGATGTAGGCGCTCTTATTAAACCCATTTCACAGATGCAGAACGAGGGCACTGAGACCATGGATAACTTGCTCCAAGAGGGCCAGGAATTGTTGGTGTCCAGGGCAGGTGCTCTTAGCACCCGTTTGGAGCAGCGAGTCTGGCCACGTGGGTCTCCTGGCTCTCCCTGAGTGGTCTTCCCTCCAAGCACACGGTCAGGCTCGGGGAAGCACTGAGGCCACAGATGGAAAATCAAGTGGCCAGGGTCTCACCAAGGCCCAGCTTCAGGGCTGGGGCTGTGAAAAGGCTTTTCTGGGCCCAGCATGTCCAGACCCCTCGGCTGTGCGTGTTTGTTGCTGCTGTTAGGCCTTCAGCTCTTCGTGACGATGCTTCCTGCCCGGCAGCTCTGAGAACCTGCTGGAGCAGGAGGGGCCGGAGCTCACACCGCCACCATTTCCTTGAGCAGGTGCCTCAGCTTGCTCATCTGTGAAATGAGGCCGTGGTTCCTGTCCAACTCCCTCAGAACTACAGAGATGTTAAATGCCTTTCTCCGAGGCCTCACAGCGAGCAATGGGGGGCCTGGGGGCTTGAGCCTCATTCACTCTGTCAGCAGAACAAATGGGGGTACCCACTGTGTGTGGCCAGAGTGCACGGTGCATGCGGGCCTCTGGACCCTGAAAGAGGCGTTCTCCAACTGTGGGGCCAGACCCATTGGTGAACTTTGAGGTTATAACCCAGATTTTCTTTTTAATGGAATGAATCAGAATGACAGAGTAGGAGAATGTTTTGATTCATAAAACCTTTTTCCAGAGCTCTGCACGTGTGGGCTCCCACCAGCATGCGAACTCACAATATCAGATGTATTTCTAACCACTTAAAAAATATTAAAGAGGTTCAGGAAGTAGCACTCCTTAGATTTCTAGAAGTCGACCTGTGGATTATACAAATCCCGAGGTCAAATGGGATGATCGATCACAAGATTCCAGCTCCAGGTCCCAGAACTGTGCCATCCCCACTTTTTGGAAAGAGTGGAGCAGAGGCTGAGAGAAAACCCACAGGGAGGGGCATTGTTGGGCTCTAGGAAAAGTTTTGGCAGGGGTGTTCTTCCTGCTCCCAGAGAGAGGGGTCTGGAGGAAAGTTCCTGAAAGCCTATGGGTCCCTAGGGGCCATCCCCTGTCCCAAAGAAGCCACACATTCCCTTTAAGTTCCCAGCCTACTCTCCAGTTCCATAAATATGGCCCCTTCTGGTCCCTGGCACCCCCTCAAATGTCCCACAATGTGGGAATGTCTCCCAATTTGGCTCATCTCCCAAGATGGTTGGTTTCTAAATAGGAACACAGCCAGGCGGCACCTTGGTTGTTCTTCCTTCCCTTGGGAGGCTGGTAACCTGCCTCCTCTGTCATCCTTCACACCTCGCCCTGTCCCAACCCGGGAAGCCTTCTCTCTGAACAGACATCAGCAGCAAGGCATTTGACAACAACTTCCATAAAACTATTGCAGATGACAGTCGTGAAATGCACGTGGAATGTAGCTAGCAGGGAACAAGCCAGTTAGGGTGAATGACTGCCTCTTCCCGGGGGAAAGATCTCTAGTTGAGAACCACTGTGATCTACTGTGTTCCAACTTCCCTCTTTTTCTTCTTACCGAAATGCCACATACAACCAGAGAAGTGGGTAGGTTGCAAGTGTACAGATGGGTGAATTTCCATCAAGTGAACTCCTCTGTGTAACAAGCATCCACACTGAGAAATAGAACGTAATGACTGGCTCCCAGGGTCCCCTCGCCTTGCCGCTGTCACCACACCCACATGAAGGGTACCAGCCTCCTGATCTCTAGCTGCCTAGTTCAACTGTCCCTGCTTTTGAACTTTGTGTAAATGGAGTCATGCAATGTGCATTCTTTTATGTCTGGCTTCTTTCTCTCAACCTTAGGGCTGTGAGGCTCATCCACATTTTTGGGTGGAGGTGTAGAGTGTTCACTCTCGCTGCTGTCTAGCGTCCCACTGATGACTACACCAACATCTATTTATCCACGCCGCAGTTGATCATGTCCCCCCATTTTTGTTAGTTGAATTAGATATACATGGGCATGCCCAGGCCAAGTCGGGAGTGCGAGAATCAAGAATGAAAATGTTGCCAGCAGGCCGATACCCTGGGCTAAAGGTCATGTATGAGCCTGGTTCAATGTAAAGTCATGCCTTTCTATTCAAAATATCAGCTGTATCCGTGCGCAGGGGACACCCTGCCCATCCACAGTGAGCCTTTCCCGAGTCCTGGGCGTAGCCAGCCAGGGGAGTGGGGAGGCACCTCAAGACCTTCTCCTACGCATTCCTGGCCTTTGGAAGCATCTGGCCTGCCGCTCCCTCCTCCATGTTACTTGTTGGAGCTGCCTCAAAAGCTAAGCTTCTCCCTCTCTCCTTTGTTGGCAGCAGAGAGTCTGTGCCAGAGGGATCCCTGGGATTGGTGAGAACGGAGAGGGCAGCTGGAAATGGTCTGCAGAAATCTGGAATAACAATAATGGCAGCCATTTAGGGAGGGGGTTTCTGAAGCCCAACTATATGCATTCATGTCCCTGGCTCTCAGGGTCCCCAGTGTGCCATTGCTTGACCTCCCTTGGAGAGTAAGTGTCTGTTTCCTGCTACTGCCGGGGACATCAGAGGTGCTCCTGCCAACAGTTCTCACTGGGTCTGGAATTCCCCAGACAATATACCGCTCCCATCGGACAGGGAGAGGTGGGGTTTTTTTGGGGCGGGGAGGTGCTGCTCACTCACATACAACTGCTCCTTTTAGACGGTGTTCCTGGATGAGTGCTCTGAAATTTGTTATTAAATAACTTGGCTTACTCATCGCCCCTGGCCAATGAGGGTGAAGGGTTTGTGGAGGCAGGGAGAGATCAGGCATGAGGACTGCTGGTGTTTATGGGCATTTTCAAGAGTCATGGAACCGTAGCTGCCCTAATGTCATGCCTGAGTTGGAAACTCTTGACCCCACACCCAAGGTCACAAATCCAGGTGCAGATATTTGACTTGGGGGCAGGCGAGCCTTCAGGGAGGCCAGCCACCCAGAGCAGGTGATAGGAATAGATGGTGCCCACGTGAACACAAGTCAGGGCTTTGACAGGGACAAAGGGACCATTTGTCCCATTTCCAGGGCCTTTGTTCCCAGCGTCAAAACGCTGACTGGATCTTTCCAACAGCTTTCTGAGTAAGCCCCCCTCCTTTTTGCCAAAGCCCCAATCCCTTGTCCCTGTCCCAGCCCCTCACTTCCCATGAGCTGCCCATGCTTGTGAAATTAAGATTCCTGGAATAAAATTCTGGTGGGGGTCTGAGGATGACCAGACAGCAACAAGACCTTAACCAGAGCCAGCAAACTCACGCGTTTATATTCTCTTAGCCAAGAGAATATGGGCTCTGCCCTTAACTGGTGTGGAGGGAGGATGTTTTCCATGGAAAGCAGTGTCATTTGAGGGGTCTCTGAGGGCTTCCATTTGTAGCTGGGTCGCACCAGCACGATGATGTGTGATGGCAGATAGTTGACCTCGCGCACCAAGTCCTGTGGATTGGTGGGTCACCTGGAGCTCTGTGCTGAGAGCATTCTGGGGCCACATCTGGGCTCAGCAGGAAAAGATGTCTGTGGGAAGGATGGGAAGCAGGGGCAGTCCACACCCTTTCGGGCCATCGACCCCAAGCACCATGCCAGTGGCCAGCTCAGTGTGGACGGCCCACGTGTTGCCCTCTCCCCATGCACCCCCATTAATCCTTGTTTGTCTTGGTTTCAGGTGTTTTCATATGTGGCCACTCTGCTGTACGTGGTCCATGCAGTGTTTTCTTTAATCAGATGGAAGTCTTCATAAAGCCGCAGAACTTTTGCTGAAAACTCAGACGGTGTTCACTGATCAGCCCGCCTTCCAGTATAACATTTTAGAATGCACAAATACTCCCAATGGTGGAAAAAAGAAAACAAACAAAAAGCAACGCTCTGTTTCTTGTGGGTGTTATGTTTACTCTCCCATATACCTTCATGTCAGGGTTGGGGGCTTGCTGCATTTAACCTCCAACGACTGAGCTGTCTTTCTAGAGTCATTTTTCTGTTTGTGAAAGAGGGCTGTCGGGGTGGGAAATGGGGACTGTGACTGTGAAACCAAGATCCCCTGCTGACCCCTGGACCAGATCTTGAGAACTGTCTGTTGGAATTTTCCACAAGCTCTCTTGAGTACCCATCCTGGGGCTCATTTCCAAGTCTTCATGGATAGTCTACCTGTCCTGGGGAGTAAAGCTCACCCAACAAGTATCTGCAGATGTCCACAGTGGAAGATGATAAACCTTTGAAATACTTAAAAGTGCCTTTATGCTCAGTACTTTTGTGGGGTGTTTGGGGGGTTTTGTTTTTAATTCCCCAGTATCAGGGACTCCATCACTTTAGCTTTCTTCCTGAGGAATCCTTTGGCTTAGATGGAATCTCTAAAGGCAGCATCAAATGGCAGTTCAGATGACAGCTGTGTATGCTCGGCCACCACGCTGCCAGGGAGCCCGTCACTGGGTATCCCACCCTCCCCAGCTACCACGCTTGTCAGATGGCTTTGCCCTCTCTGGAAACTCGCCAAGTACCAGCCCGGGGGACCCCTTCTTTCTAATGGAACATAGACCCCCTACAAGACAAAGGAGTCTGTGCTCCATGAGAAAGTCCTTAAGCCAGGGGGCACCTGGGTGGCTCAGTCGGTTAAGCATCCGATTCTTGATCACTGCTCAGGTCTTGATCTCAGGGTCATGAGTTCAAGCCCCACCTTGGGCTCCACGCTGGGTGTGGCGCCTACTTAAAAAAAAAAAAAAAGTCCTTAAGCCAAAAGAAAACAAGGTGCAAAAGTTTCTTCTCACTCCTCGTGAAGCTGATCGGAAATTCTCTGGACAGTGTGCTTTGTGCTCTGTTCAAATTAGGGATGAGGGTAATAAACTGTTTTTTAGAATTTCCTTGGGCCACTCCCAAGGAGAGCGAGAGGACCAGACCACTGAGGGAAAGGAAGTAAAAGGACAAGTGGTGAGTGCCATGTTTTAGGTGTGGGATGTCTGTATTGAAAGGAGAGGGGGCAGTTAGGAAGGAGGCGCTCAGTTAGGAATCAATCCTGAAAGCCCAGTTTCCATTTTAAAATGCTGCTTTGTCTCTTTGCTCAGAGAATTTAATGATATTCCACAGCTGGGCACCAAATAGGTGCCTCAAAAACCTCCCAGCTATGGAGGTCTACAGGCAGAGGCTGGACGACCTCTTGCTAGTGGCCACATACAACGAAGATTCAAGCCTCGGGCAGAGGTTTAGCAAGTTGACATTTTACTCCCCTTCCAACTTGGGGATGCCTTGACTAAATGGGGTCTCAGTGGTATTTTCAGGAGATCCTTTATGATCCCAAGGTAATTGTACCAGAAAAAGGCCACTTTTGGTGAATCCACTTTAAACAAAATTGAAGTAAGTGTTTCGTAGTAAATTAGGAGCAAAAAGTTTGAGGCTTTATCCTGAAAAAGTACACATTAAAAATCATGAAGAAATGGTAGGAAGTTTGTCGTGTGTTTAACAAAATTTGCAATCAAGTGCTGATTGAGGGAACGGGCATTTTTTTCCCCCCACAAAACTGCCTGTTTGCATCCTGCTGAGCCAGAAACACGATGCCAATGGAGGAGCATTTTTGACCCCCATCAAAAAAGAGAAACTGAAGGCTTGCTTAAATTTCCCAAAGGTTCCTCAGTATTTTGGAATTTTAATCATTCTCTTTAAAGGAATCTGGACTTGTTCTTTCTCTTTTCTCCTTTTCATGTGCAAATTGGTCTAACAATAAAATGGATAAAATCCGTATTTCTCCAAGGCTTTGCAGGTGACTCTCTGACAAGACTTTGTCATTCCTCCCACCCTGAGTCTTTTTTTTTTTTTTTTTTAACTTGCAGTTTCATCTGGCATTTGACTTGCATCCTGCTCTCCTTGGATGTTAATGGTTGGCCAGCCTCCAAAAATGCTCTCTCCTGGTCTTGCTTTTCCCTTTGCCCAGACCCTCCTCCCCGCCCCCGCCCCGGGAACCTCGTCTAGTTTCCTTGCTCGTGTGTCTCATTGCTCAGCTCTTTTACACCCCGCTGTTTAGGAGGTGTTTGCAGGGCACGGGCTGACTGTCGGGCAGGCCTTCCTGCTAAGGGCACAGACCCTCTGGAAACCCACGATGCCTGGGGAGGGAGCGCTTAAGAAGTCTGCAGGGCAATAGCCAAATGGTCCTCGGATCCCACGGAATGGGCATCGACTGAGTACCTGCCCTGCGGGGACCGTTGATGGTGTGGGATGCTGTCTGCCCCCCAAAGCTTCTTGTAGCTGGCATGCCTCACCTCTTTACCTCTGGGTCTTGAACAGAATGGGTCCCTCTCTGGGGCATATCTTGGTTCTAGCCCAAGGGCAGATGGGACATTCCTTAGATCCTGCCTGCTTGATGTCCCTGATGGACCAAAGGTAAGGTAGCACCAACACCCAAACATGACTGCCCAGAGGACCCACTTGTGCACCTGTGTGGCCATTTGCCTTCCATTTTTGGAGCTCTTGCCTTGGGCCCGGCACTGTGTAAGCACCTTCCATGTATGTGTGTAGCCTCTTGTCATCCCCACAATGGCCACAGGAGATAGCAAATCCTGTCGTTTTACAGGGGAGGAAACAGGCTCACTCCGCTGACGAGAACTGGAGCTGGGCTTCTGGCCGGCTGCTCCTGCTTCCTGCCCTAGGCTGCCCAGACCCATCCTCCCGCCAGTCTTCCCCCCGCCCCCGCCTCTCAGGAAGCGACAGTGAGACCAGCCCTCGTAGTGCCCCTCAGACGGGCGGGCAGGGGTCATCTGAGGGGGTGAGGCCAGCATTTGGGACAGCCCAGCCTGCTGGCAGGGTCTGCAGGGGGCCACATGGGGCCGTACCGAAAGGGGCTGGCGGCTCCGGGCTGCAAAGTCGTGACAACGGCGCCCACCCAGGCAGGTACCAAGTTTTGCTCTGCAGCCTCCAGAGAGCCAAAGGCCCACCTGGTCCAGCGGATCCTTTGCAAGAAGGCGAATAACTGGATGTTTTTAAGGTCATGGAACAAGGAGCAGAATCCCTCCATGGATCTGAGAGAGGATTAAGAAGCTGATGTCTGTGATGTGACCACAAGCCAAAGCTTGCAGAACAGAACAAACCACGGTCACTGCAAATACGTGGCAAGGGCGGGCATCACAGGAGGGCAAACGGCGACACACAGCTACAGAGCAAATCCAACCAGGACACTGTGGGGACTCTTACCTGTGACTGCAGGGGCTCTGGGGGCATTCTCCTGGTGGCCTTGCCCGTGCAGGGCAGGGTGGCCTGATGGGGGCCTCATCCGCAGATGGTCCTCCTCTGCGAACCAATCCCTGACCCCCCATTCTACTCCCAGGAGGCCCCCACTGGCTCTGCCCTTCTCCTAGAGAGGACAGTTGATGGGCGTTGAGCTTCATCAGCATTTAGAAGCCAACTCTACAAAGCACTTCGTATCAGAACCCTGGCAGCAACCCGCATGGGGGATTTCAGGCCTCCCCTCGCTGACCTTACAGAGACAGCAAAGGGTTCGTGCTGCCAGCCGAGGGCCCGCGGGAGCAGGCCTTTGGGGCCCACACAAGGGCCTGTTGTCCCAGTAATCACTCGGGGCCGGTTCGGGGGTCACAATGGAGCCTTTCAAGGGACAAAGAGCCTCTGGCCCAGCGGAGTGTCCCTGCACACATGGGCATCTGCCCAGGGCATTTAAAATAACAGGATTTGGAAAAACAGATTTAAAGTGATGTTGCCCACTCTTTGCATGATTCAAGGCCTTTGTTCCGTCTCCGTCACACTTGGCCATGGCAGCTGTGGTGCAGTGCTGGAGGCAGATGCCAGGGTTCCCTCTCAGGTACCACAGGGACAGTCACTGTGCCAGGCTCAGATTTGATACACATAGTGCGTTCAGCGTCCAGGGCTTCTCTCAGCCAATGCATGGTCTAGGAAAGCTCACTAGGACAGACACCCAGGGACCGGAAGGGGGAGAAGACTCACCAATGACACCATGTGCCCAGTACTGCGTGACGTGCTGACCTCTTCACATAATCCTCATGACACCCCTATGTGACGGATGTCATTTAGATGAGGAATATGAGGCACAGAGAGGTGAAGCAACTTAACCAAGTTCACACAGCAAGTCACTGTGATTCCAGTTCCAGGGTGTCTAGCTTCAAAGCCCCAAAGATACCTGTCATGTGCCACATCTCACCATGATAGGGTCTCTGTCCCTCTGGGAGCAAGGAAAACAGACAGGCCAAGCACGTTCTTCACACCCACAACACTGACAGACGAGATAAGAAGCTTCCAACCTGCACACAAGGAGTGGGGGCAAAACCCAGCCAGAAGCCCAGCCCGCCTGGGAGGTAGGTGTGAGATGAGGAGGACTTTGTTGGGCAAAGAGGGCAGGGAGGGCCTTCCTGGGCAGAGTCAGGGTGGGGTCCAACCCAGGGAGGGTGGGGGGGGGAAGAGGTCTCAGGAGGTTATGAGGACCCGGGGTGCCCCTGAAGGTGAGGCCGCAGCCTGGCTTTCACCCAAGGAGCACTGGGGGGCAGAATCCCCGTTGGACCGTGGCAGATGTCTAAGAAGAGATGGCGGCAGTGGGAGGGTCGGGGGGCAGGCATGCAGGCGGGGCTGGGGAGGTGGGATAGACCTGACCAGACTGTGGTGCACCGAGAGCCGCTAGAAGGAAGTGGCCGAGGGCATGCATCCCTGAGCTCGCCCAAGTGTGTGGCCTCTCTCTCAACCTCAGCTCCCTTCCCTGAGGAAGTGCCAGTAGCGATCACCATTATGGGAATGAAGGGAAAGGTCTAGAATGATCCTGAAGTTTCTAACCTGGGCAGGTAATGGTTACTGGCTTTGTCTTTATTCGTTAGCCATGTTCCTGACATCAGAAACTTGGATATTTTGCTTTTCCCCACAGAACTGAACGTTTAATTGGCCATGACATAGTTTAAAATAACCCTATTTAAGATAGCCTGAGTGGCTCAGTCGGCTAAGTGTACAAATCTTGATTTCAGCTCAGGTCATGATTTCAGGGTTGTGAGATCGATCCCACACAGGGCTCCACGCTGGGGGTGGAGGCTGCTTGGGATTCTCTCTCTCCCTCTGCCCTCCCCCATGCTCTCACACTCTCTCTCTCTAAAAGCCCCATTTAGCAAATCAAACTTCAGTCCCTTGGAAAGAGGCCATTTCCTCCAGAGCCCTTCTGACCACTATGTGAAGTGCACCATGAAGGCCCGAGAGAGTCAGGGTCATTCAACCAGACCCTGGCTCCCTTCGGTTTCCTG